ATCAATTCTGGCCTTTTCTGTTTAAGTGAATTGAGTTTGTCCAGCTGATGACAGTACACTTTAGAATTGATCGTTATGTGTTCGTATAATTTAATAATATAATAATAAGAATAATTAATAAATTAAAAAAAAAACTTCCTTTGAAGTCCTACTACATGGATAGTATTACCTTTTTTTTTGATGAATATTAGCTTTCGAAGTGCTTTGAGCTGGTTTATCTTTTTACTTCTCTTGCATTTAACATTGTTGTAGAAAACCCATTTCTTGTCCCCAGTCATGATGCACTTCAAAAATGGATAATTTTCTGTATGTTTGAGAAGCAAATCACATACTTCAACATGACGACACAAATTTCTCTCTGTAACATGAGGAACCCAAATGTCGAGCTTTGAGATTAAACCTATGCGTTTCAAATGATCATAAACTATCAATAAATTAAATATCTCTGTGATCTTACGAGTTGTTATTCGCAGGTTTGTATCAATTAATACCTTTACTATGTCTTCATCAGCTTTAACTGGTCTTCCAGAACATGGTGCATCTTCAAGGTCAAAATTGCCAGATCAAAATTTTGCAAACCAGTTTGGGCACTGGCATTCTGTCAATACATCTTCTACAAACACTTTGAGTAATTTTTTTCTTGCTTGAACAGCATGTTTACCTTTTCGATATAAAAAAGTAAAATATCCTGCAAATGCTGCTTTTCACTTTCCTTATCTGAAGGCGCACCAACCAAAAACTACTCGTAGAATCAATTGAACTTTTTCAAAAGCAAGCTTTGCTATATCAGCTGTCAAAATATATAATTACTATTAAGTATAAAGTTCCTATTAAAAAGTAGACCTTAAGCCTTCTGAAAAAATGAAATAAAATTATTCTCTAAACAACCCAACAACATTAAAAAGTGATATAAAAGGTTGCATTACACATCACCTGTGAAATAACCATCATAATACTAGAAGTGTCAGTCAAGGATTTTTTAATTTTCATTTAAAGAAGTGGCTTCCAGTTTCTTTACTTTCAAAAGTACTTTGCAGGCTTTAGAAAGTAAAATACACTTGTAGGTAGACATACAGATATATGGATCTAAGCAGCACAAAGTCTAAGCTTCAGTTAACCAAAATATATGCATTTTAAATTTCAAAATTTAGTAAATCTGTGTAATGATGCTGAAAGGTACAAAGAAAGGTAGTAAATCAGTTAATCTGCCGTAATTCAGTAATCTATATAAATCTATAATAAAAAAATATAGCTATCTATAGCACTAAACAATCGTTCTGAGCAAATCTAAGAATTTGCAAGGTATTACTAGTTTCAGCAAAAAAGTTCATACAAAGATAGTTCCAATTTAGAAAACCATAGTTTATCTAAAAAAACATATTTTTATGTTTATTGATGTTTCATCTTCATTTTCCAAATTTTCTGCTTGTTGATGGTTATCTTTAAAATAGTTAAAAATGACATGTGCTCAGTCATCAAGTTCTTCAAGCTAAACAGTTACTACACCCCACAGATTGAAAGTGAGCTTGAAGGTATGATGTGTGAAGACTTTTCTATCTATAGCAAGATTGCTAAGTGAATAAACAAGTTTAAATGCAGGGAAACTTTGATCAAAGAGGAAACCTGGTTGGACTGACCAATTAGCTCTAGCACTGAGCAAATCATGGCTGTTGTTTGTTGTTGATGACTGATAAATTTTCTTTCATGTAACATGAAAGCTCTTTTGGATATTTTGAAGAATGAGAGTATCTTTTCAAGAATTTTTGGAATACGAATCTGTACCTATAAAACTTTGGTACTGGTTTAACATGCTGACAAAGTGGAATATTATCATGAATTCTTGGCCAACTACAATGCATTGCCCCTAAATTTTCTCAATTCAGCAGTAATGAGTGATAAGTCATGCAATAATAATAATAAAAATAATAAAAAAATGCAATCATAGCATATAATGCAAAATATGCATATAATGAAAAAAGCGTACGAATATATTTATGTTCATGAAGTTGGGATGTGGACTCAGAATTTCAAGGATATCTTGTAACCTAAGAATACACATAGAGCTTATCTGTGAATAGTTCCTTTTCTCATATTTAATTATATAAAATCCAAATGATCATGCGAGTGGATGAAGATACCAGCACCATGCCTAGATATTTTTTCACCTGAGGCAAAGAGATAAATATGCTCCTATATATAGTCAAACTAATTATATTATTACTTTCATATTCATCAAAGGTAATTATTTTAAAGCCATAATACTCTAATTTTTATATTTTTTTATCAGAGCCTTATATATTCAGAAATGTGATATACCATATATTCCGGAATTTCTAATTTCTAAAATGAATTGCTAATATTTCACGATTAATTTGTGCTTCTTCTAGTTGTTCGACTGAGACAAGTGTCTCCCTTGTCCTGGTTCTGGGTAAAACAATATTGGGCACATCTGAACTGCTACATTTTGACTACCACAGATATTGTTACAGTACAAATTCTGAAATCCAGATTGGTCGGGACTTCGGCGATTCCGGATTTGGGAATTTTTCTGGATAATACATCATCAATTTAAATCTGGTAAGATGGCATGCAGAACTTATACAATTAAAAATATGAAATCGTAATTTATGAAATAAAGAACAATTATAATCTAAAGGGTATCAAAATTTACAAAAGAAAGCTTAATATTTATTTGTTTATGTTATTAAACATTTCTTTCAATGTAAGTTCTTTAAGATGCTTCCACAAAAAATTAAAAAGTTCCTTTTTCTTTTTTCTTGTGTAATATACAGTGGACTTTCCAATGCCTTTCTCCTTGCATAATTTTGAAACGGATATGCCTATATCCATTTTTTTTTTTTTTTTTTTTTTTTTTTTTTTTTTTTTTTGTTTAATAGACATCGAAACATGATTTTCCTTTGGCAACTCCAGAATTGGAAACTCTTTTCGACATAATTGAAAGTTCAAGCTTAGTTTTTATAAAATTGCCGTAATAATAACAGTCTGCAAAAAATAATAAGCTTGATCAAATTAGAAGATCAGGGAGCAGCGCAGTCTGCTACATTAATTGCAATGCCTTAGAATCAGTAAAGATAATTTTAGCCTAACTTAATAGCGTGCGTTATACATTATTGGTTGTGTATCACAAGATTGGCAACGAAAGCCAAGTTGTTTCGCTAAATTTTGTCTTGCTCCTATTTGTCTTACTGAATTCAGCCTACACTGCCTGGTGCAGTCTCTACGGGCCCTAAATTCTGCTACAAAGCACTTTCCTAAGTTCTAAATTTTCACCATGCCTAAACTTTGGATCCCAGTGCTTTTCCTAAATCATAAATACTTCTCATCCCTTAATTTTGCTGTTTGGTGCTTCCCCAAATTCCAAAAATTTCGTCTTCCCTATATTCTGCCGTCTGATGGCGGCATATTCTACCGCCACTTCTGAGTTAATGGTGAATAACATATCAGTTATTCTTAATTAAAATAGCACTAAATGTAATCCTTTGGCCTGTGAGTTTTCATTAACAAATCTACTTTTAGCAGTATGAAAAGAAATTTTTGTTGAATTTTTTCCGTCGTCAAAATTTCTTAGAGCATTTAAAAATCTATAATTCATCGCCAAGCGTAATGTTAGCATAAAGGTTGCCATACATTTGTTATTCAATTACTAATATAAAAAGTTTAGACATCACAGCATGAGTTATTAATGAAGCTGTCATGTATTGATAAATATGCGGCGATGAAAGCAAAATATAATAAATAATGGCTCGCCAGGTCTTCGTGAGGGGTATAGAAGTGATGAATGTGTTGACTTGAGACGTATGGCAGGCAGACACGCAGCTACAGGAGCCAAATTATTAATCTCACAAATTTATGCTTACATGATTGTTTTTCCATAACGACGTATCTTATTTAGTGCCTAAGTGAAATTAAGAATCGGAATTTTTAAGTGAAAATCTCCAAGTTTTATTATGGAAGAAAAAATCAAATGCGTATGCGTAAAGCAGTAATAAAAAAAATGTTAGTGGCTTTGAGGTCCGGATTTTATATCATTCTGGATAATGGACGTGCGAATTTTGGACTTTGTACTGTACATCATTTTGCTTGCATTTTGAAATTTGCAACCGATAAAATTATAGCAATATTTTAATTTTTTTTTTCTTTTCCACTCTGTGCTAAGCAAAACTGCAAATATAGGATTACAACTATAATTTCTTAAATTTTGAAACAAATGTAAAGAAGTTTTACAATACAACTTTCAGATTTTAATGATTAATTTTTGCTCACCAATTTTCCTTAGCTTCATTTTTGTTTTTAAAATCTGCATTTTTATAGCAAATAATAACTATATACAGTGATTTTAATACACAAAATAAATATAACAGTTTTTGAGGGAATTTAATGCCTCATAATTCAGTTATGTTTTCTATCCCTCCAGTGATCAGCTAACACTGCTTCATTGCTTTAATATTTTGGGCATAATGAAGCATGCCAAACAGATAATAATAAACTTTAAAATTTTTTGTACATAGCACCAAATGCTGCTTTCATATTTCTTTAAATAATATAGTGTTTATAAATATTTTCTATCCAGTGTATCACAATGCAAAATATTTTCTTACCTTCTTCATTTCAACAATGGACATTTTCTCTTTTGGCTACATTTGGTGGGAACAGCATACAAAATGCACTTAAGATATATTTATAAAACAATAAATTGTTATAATTAAGCAAATCACTCTATTAAGAAAGCAAAATTTTTAAATACTATCATCGTTTTGAATGCATGTATGAAGTCAGTGTTCTAATTGCAAATATAGGAATAAGAATTTTATTTCTATTTTCAGCACTATACTCACATAAATCTCCAACTTTTGTAAAAAAAAAGGAAAGGTGGATGGGTGGGAAGGAGGCTACATATCTGATCTATAAGACTATGAACATACTAGTATCTTATAACTTTTGATATTACAAATTAACTGTGACTAAATAATGCACCATACCCTATAGGATGTCCAAGGCTTACAGCACCACCATGCACATTGACTTTTGTTGGATCTAAACCCAGTAACTTAATATTGGCTAGAACAACCACACTAAAAGCTTCATTTATTTCCCATAATGAAATGTCTTCTTTTTTTACTCCAGTTTGTTCCAATACCTGTAAATATAACATTATATTTTAAAATATTTTCTTTAGTAATACAAAATTCTCTTTCTACTTACATTAAATGATAAAATGTTATAAAGTTTAAAATTTATTGCTTTGCAATTTAAGTTTTTAAAGGGAGGGGGAAAACAAAAACAGGAAAATTATAAGCCTTTCATAAACTTACATACACTAAAAATTTTGCTCTTGATGTATGCAGTTTACCATAATTTAATAGAAAAGTACTTTTTCCCCCCTGAATGATAATTTTCTAACTATATATTGCTTGCTATAGAGAACATAATGCAATTTATGAAATTATATGCTTGGTATGTATAAACTTTGCATGATTATTTACATTAACCATCTGATCAGCATGGGATTTTCCTAAGAAAGCCTAAATTCCTGAAAACTGCCAGTAGGAAATGGTATTTTCTCGATTTTAATGCCAAAATGTTCCTGGTACTTTATACATGAATTTATGTATTTTAAATTTTATTTCTTGGGCATATTTCTAATATATATATATATATATATATTGATCTTACAAACATCACAGAAAATATTTTAGGCCATATACTTTATTATGCATTCACTAAAATCGTAATCACCAATATTGACAAAGCCAGTAATAATTTCAGCATTATTTGAAATTTTTTTATGTCTCACTAGTTGATACTGAACTGAATAATGTTACAAACTTAGCAATACGCAAGAAAATGTCATAGCAGAAAAGCTTAAATTCATAAGAAACTACAAATTACACAACCATCTACCTACAATAGATTAGCAAAACTTTATGCTCTTCCAAAATTCCATAAATCACCACTCAAATTTAGATTTATAGCAAATGGTACAAATAATTATGAAAAGAATATAGATTACATATTTGCAATTAAACTTAAAAAATATGTATCTTAATTCATCACTAGTTAACAGGCAGCACAACTATTGTTGGATATAATAACGGTCCAGTTCTCAACAAATTTAAAAGTTTAGAAATCAAGAACATTAACTGCTGTGACTTTGTAAACCTTTATACTTCTCTACCATTGGATGAAATTTATACTAGTTTAATGCAACTCCCACAACTTTTTCCTCACAAGCTAAGCATCCTCTGAATTGAAAGATGGAAAACTTACCTGCAATGTGCAGTATTTAATAACAACATTAAATTCAATAATAAGATCTTTCAGCAGGTGAAAGGAATTCGAATAAGAGCAAACAGTTCTACACAGATATGTAACCTATTCCTTTTGCTAATGAATATAAATTTCAACTTAGTTTCAATAAGAATGAATTAAAATTATTTGCAAATGCATTCAAATACATTGATGATATTATGACTTTCAATAATAATTCTGCTTTTGAATAATTCAAAATTTACCCAGATAGTTTAACACTTAATAGAACTAATATGAATAAAGATAATACTGAATACCTAGACATACTCATAAGTAAACACAACAAAATTAAATTACACGATAAAAGGAGGCCATTCCAGTTTGAAACTATTTAATTGGAACTCTAATATCTCTACAAAAGTAATAGGTAACACTTTTTATAGCCTAATAGTAATTACAATTAAAAATATATTTATTGATATAGAAGATTTAAAGTAAGAAGTAATAAAACTAATTAAGGTTCAAGTTAATACCAGGTCCCACAAACATTTAATTAAATTCTATATTAAAAGAAGGCAGACATTAACTTTTGTCTTTAATTTTTTAACTCTTTATCATATGATAATATTACCTTAAACATTAACTGGAGGGTAATGGAGGATTTTGAAGTAATAATGTAATTATTACTTTTACATTAATTAATTTTTAATTAATTTTGTAAAAATGTATGTTTTATCAATACTGGATTCTTTCTTTTACTAATGAAGGGCCCTCAATTATAGCCCGAATTGAATGAAGACTTAATTTTTACTTAATTTTTCAATTTTCCTTACCTTTGGCCAGTATTTAGTTAAAGTTTTGATTAAACTTGTAACTTCAGTTTTAAATAATGCAGTCTAGTACAAAAAATTTCTTACAATAATTCTCTATTATTTTAATATGTAATTTTCTAACTCAAATTAAATTAATTCAATTAAAATGTTTATTTGAATTTTAATTTTACTAAAAATTTTTACATCTTTAGTAGTTTGCAACATCTATTTTCACAAACAGTAGCAGCTCGCAACTGTTACTGTTTTACACATTTTAACAATGTCTCAGAGTTAGCAACATTTTTTTTTGCACACAAAACAAGCATTTTACATTTTACATTATTAAAGTTTACAGCATGGGTTTTTTACAATAGCTCTCACAGGTAACAGCTTTACACTCAACTTTACATTGTATTAGTGCCCTCTTTTTGTACAGTTAGCAGTAACAAAGTACTCAACTTTACCTAGTTTAGCAAATGCTTGTCCACCTCAAGAATTCAAATATATAGTTTTAAGTTAGATTAAAACTTGCTATTTACTAGCCTTTTTATTATTATTATTACAGTCAAAAGTCGTTAATTCGGACACCCATAATACGGACCTCAAAGCTATAATCTTTCTGCGCATGTGCCGCGTTGACGCATGCGCACAAGACCTTTACGACTGCGCAAGCGCAGAATACGTTTTCGCGTGCGCGTTTAATGTATAACAGACGGTACGGTATAAGCTAAAATTATCTAATTATCTATTTCAGTTAATGTTGATGATTGCATTGTTCCTTAATCTTCGAATTGGATCCGGCTTATTATTTTTTGCAGACTGTAAGCAATTTTATAAAAGTAAGCTTGAACTTTCGATTATGTCAAATAGAATTTCCGATGCTGGAGCTGCCAAAGGATCTACAAAAGCGAAAGTATGTTTCGAATGTCCCATTCAAACAAAAAGTGGAATTGCTGCAAAAAATGGATAAAGGCATATCCTTTGTTTATCTAACTGTTCCGAAATCTGTTTACCAATTTCACGCTGCTCTGCCGTGGGGGGGGGGGGCGTCACGGCGCGCAATGAACTGGAAGTTGATCTGTCAGCACTATCGTTATCTTCAGGGCAGATATTTTTATTTTATTTGGCTTATAATTCCTTACTAAATGTAGTATTTCAACTCGATGTGTTCCGTCTTTGATATGATTTAAATCAAATTCCTCGTCATTATAAATATCACGAAAGCAAATCAAATAGATTTTTGCTTGCAATTTTCTAATTTTGGCTATGCGTAATGTATGCTTTACGCATGCGTGCGTTGAAAGAAATGTTTAATAAAGTAAACAAATAAATATTAAGCTTCTTTTTTTTGTAAATTTTGATACCCTTTAGATTATAATTGCTCATTATTTTAAAAATTACGGTTTCATATTTTTAATTTTATAATTTCTGCATGCAATCTTACCAGATTTAAACTGATGATCTATAATCCGCAAAAATCGATAATCCGGAATCGCTGAAGTCCCGACGAGTCCGGATTAAAGACTTTTGACTGTATATTTTGATAGATTGTGTATAGTTTATTTTAGGTTTACATGCATAATTCGTAGAGAAGTTTTCAGTAGGCAAGAGTTTCTAAATTACTTTGGTTTTCTAAAAAATTTGGTTTTCTACTCTTAATTGACATTTAATTAATTTTAATTCTAATCATTTACTTGCTTATTTCTCAAAATTCCACTAGTTTAAATTTCTTTTTTAGTAATTCACACATTCTTACATTTGATTTTGAATTTTACTTTTACCCTTGCTTGTATGGATGATGAAACACGAATTGAGTAACTGAAGAGTTAGGTTTGAAGGGAACTTTCTCTTGATGATTCTCTTGCCTACTCAACAATTATTCACTTAAGCAATTTTTTTGAATAATATATTTTTTCATGGTTTTAGATACGTGCACTTAATTTACATATGCTCTTAGAATTAAATGATATCGTAAATTATTTCGTAGTAATAATAAATTTTATTTTTATTTTTGCAATTAAAATTTTAATTTTATATTAGCTTTATACAAATAGAGAATATTTGTTAAATTCAAATCTAAATATAATATTTTATAATAACTGATATATGAGAAATATGACATCAACTTGAATAATAGAGAAAATTTCTGTTTAAAACTGATTGAAAAGACGAAAGACTTTACACACAATGATACAATCTTTCTATATCACAACATGTGTTTTTGATAGAAAAGGACCTATATAAGATTACTTAAGAAAATATACTTATTAACAGTATATATTTAAGCTTTTCACATTAAATTATCAATAAACTAAAAATGAATTTTACCATTTAAAATATTATTCAATATTCATGATTTAAAGTATTAAAATTTCATGTATCACAAAGAGATGAAATTGTCTCAAATTAATCATGCTTTCGTGTTCAATATATATTTCATGATTATACACAAAGAAAAAACACAAAGAAAAAAGACACAAAGAAAAAAGACGCTTCAGTTCATTCTCATATATTTCATTTAAATGAATGACCAAACAAAGAAATAAAAATTAACTGGTAATCACAAAAAAGCAATAAAAATTTATTGGTTATTTAAACTTTTCAAAAACAAAGATGTAATATTAAATATTACGTGTTGTTCTGAAAGTTTAAATATGATAATTTTTTTAAACTTTAACAATTTAATAAATGCAGTTTTAAACAGTATAATAAGGTGTTTAGTTTGACTTAATTCTTAATCTGAATTCATTCTTAATTCAGATTAAGAATTAGGTCAAACTTAAGTTCTTAATCTGAATTTCAAAGACTGCATCACAACTCATGAAGTGTTTATTCTAGAGCAATAAAGTGATATTTTATTTTCATGTCCCTTGCAATTTTTTTTTATGATAAAATTTCTTGGACAATAAACTTGTATTTTAAAATATGTTTTTATTATAACTTGCATTACGCTATGGAGTACTAATGACAGTTTCTAAGACACAGCAGTAGACTTTATAAATGCAACAAGTACATTTGATTAAACTCTACAAAAAACTGTTTTCAGATAGAAATTTTAATGTAAAATGAATGATCTAAATAAATAATGCTAAATTTTAACATATGAAGCATGTTCAATTATAAACAGGAGTTTCGTGCTTCATTCTTAAAAAGAGTCTGATGGCTTGATGGGAAAAACCACATGCACAACTGAACTTCTCAACTATATGTATATACTAGTTTCTTTTTCATCAACCTGTAGTAATTGTATCTAACATGTTGGAGAAAAAGATTCACACCAGTATTGCACAGCTAATCATCATTAGATTTTTTTTACTATTTCCATGTCAAATTTATTTGAGACTTATAAAAATAAATCTGGAGGTGAGTGCCTCTTTCAATTTAGAAAGTATGATTGGTGTAAGTCTTTTACAGCAGGCAGGCTGAGAACTAGAAATGAACTATTAATGAACTTACTCGATGGCCTAGAATCTCTGATGAAGATGAGTACTCTGCTGTTGATGCACTAATTTTGACAAATCAGAAAAATCACCACTGGAGAAATTGCTAAGGAACCTAAAGTCACATTGTGAGTGTGGAACCCTTAGTTAAAGATCTTTTTAACTTTAGCAAGGAAAATACCATGAATATTGGAATAAGTATCTAATGGCAGATGAATACTCATGAGTGATGCTGTTGTACATAAATGACAGTTATGTTACAAATTGAGATTCATATCACTCTAAGTAAATCTTATTATGAACTATTACTTCAACTTTAAATTTTTAACTAAATAAAAGAATGATGAATATTTTAATAAAACTAAATTATATTATTCACTTTTGTTTCAACATTGAATTTTTATCTAAAAAAACATAACCATAACAGATATTCTACTAACTGAATTTTTCTCTCTTCATACAAAAAGCTAGATAGATTTAAGAACCCTCACCAATAATCTCTAGACTATTTTCATAAATTTCATACATTATATTATAGCTTTGATAGCTATAATATTTATATATGCAATGTGTTTAAGGAAATTTACAATTAGAAATATATATATGAAAGATCAATATTTAAGAAAATAACATTTGTAACCTCCCTCCTTTTTTAATACTTTAAACATGATCCCACATAAACTTCACTTAAACAGACATCAAAAATAAATATTAAATTGATATTTTCAGACTTAAACTATTTATTTAAAAAAGCAAAAAATGATCATTAGTCTGAAAGGTTATCAAGTTACATTAATATACCTTTAAAGGCTACCACTTATATGACATGATTATTAAGGCAGTTCTTTAAAACCTATTCATGATTCATATACTTCAGAAACAGTGAAAGGAGAAATACCATACAATTAAGACCAGCAGTTCATAAATTTTTTTCATTCATGATCCCTTTTTACCGTAGCTATTTTTTTCTGACGACAGATATTAAATATAAAGTAAAGATACAAAAATAAATATTTTCTTCTAAATAATTTATTTCATTAGTAAATAATATACAAATGAAAAATTGTTCCAAGTACACAAAGGATTTAATAAAAATTGGTTTATATGGATTTTTAAGTATACAAAAATTAATAAAAGATCATATTTTAATAAGTCAGATGTGCTTATTTTTGGCTTCAAAACATTAAATCTTGGTGCAATATTTGATAATGTTAGACATAAAGCATCTTTAATATTTTTCAGCATTGAATGACATTTGTATTTAATAAGCATTAAAGCTGAAAAAGACATTTCACGTAAGTATGTGGTGCTGAATGGTAGAAAAGCATTTAATGCCATTTCAGAAATTGAGCGAAATGCATTTCTAGCTCCAATCCAGTCAAGGACTTTTGAGGAAACTCAAACTTTGAGTCATTCGATAGCTCAACAAATTCCTCTTGGGATTTATACAGTAGATGATTAACCTCATGAATGTCAATCAAGAATGATTTTTGAACCCAAGATAACTTTCCAAAATCAAAATTCAATACAAAGTCGATCATGATCATTCAGTTTCTCAAAAATATCTGACAAAATAGAGCTTTGATAGTCATTTTTAAAAACAGCAGCAAAATCAGATTTTTGTTCAGTTAAAAATAAAATAATTTCTTTCCCCCCCCCTTTTTTTTTAATTACAAAAATCTTTAACTTTCTCCTTTTGACATTCTTACTTCTAACTGTAATAATAAATTCTTGTATTTGTAGTTCATGTCTTTACAGAGACCTGACAATAAATGGCTGTTAAGGGAATGGCATTTAAAAAAGTTTATAATTTCGACAGCACTCTGAATCACATCATTCAATTCTGATGTTAATTTCTCTGCTTTCGATAGATTAGACAGTATATAAAAGTTTCATGATCATTACCACCAGCTTTAACAAATGAATAGAAACCAATATTTTTGTCTGTTATCACTTTTGCATTATCAGAACATATTAGAATGCAATTTTTCTATTCTAAATCTTCAGTTTTAAAAAATTTACTAACTTTAATATATATATGTCATTCTTTTTATATATTGTTATGTTATATATCATTCAACTTTACTATATATATCGCTGTAACAATTCTTCACCGATGTTTCTTTATAAATATATTTCATATACTGACAACAGAGCTATATTTGAAACATCACTTGTTTCATCTAAGTGAATTATAAATTATTGGCTTAAGTCTAGTAATATGTTGCCTGAATTCATTATTGCTGATTCCAGAAAATTCATTTGCAACAGTGTTGTTGGCAAAGGAATTTTGCAAGTTTCACTGCCATATTTACTCCTGTGACATTTTTTCTACCATTTTAACAGCAGCAGGTAATATAAGATTTTCTTCAGTGGTGTATGGCTGCTTATTTTTAGCAATCAGATATAAAACTTCATATGACACTAATAAATAATTTTTGCTAATAGTCATTAATTTCACAAAATACTGTTTTTCTTTATTTGAAGATTCTAACAGTTGTTTAAAATATTCTTTTGGTTTATTGACACGAGAAAGATGCTTGAATTCAAAATGCCTTTCAATATGAATTCAAGATGATTATATTCATTAGCATCACACTTAATGAAACTGAAGTTAAAATAGATAATTGTCTCATCATATTTTCTTTTTTGCATCTTTATAACTACTAAATTCTGCTTGAAGAGATTAAATCACAGTCTGTACCATCACATATGTTACTCTAGTTCAACCATTTATCCAGGGGAAAAAATATTTTTATCCTAATATGCAAATAAAATAACATCTCATTATAATTATTCAAATAAATGCTATAGTCATGTAAAACAATAAAATATATTGTGTTTTTCACGTGATGTATACAGTTGTTGCGATGCAACAAGCAACTGACTATATTGAAAATGCGTTACTACTACACTAGTCTTGGATACACTGTGTAATGTACTGCCCGTTTCTGCAGATTTTGATTCTGAATTAATTTATATACTGAAACAGTTATGCTACACTGCTGTTATGATGTGCTTAGAGGTAGACTTCAATATGTATATAGAATTTACAGCTCAACTTGGCCAATATTATGATTCTATTCTTTTCCTATATATAAAATGCAATATATTAAACTGAAGATGATTAAAGGATTGTGACTAGTGTTTTTTTTTTAACTTATGTATCTGAATTAAATTTTTGTAATGACAATATTTTGCTTTGCTATCCTACTTGAAGTCACAACCCACAGTTTAAAAGAAACTAATTTAAGATAAAAAGGTTCTAACATTCCATTACATGTAAAAAATATAAATCCATTTAAATCACATTCTGAGAGTTCACAACTTTGACCATTAAATAACAAAAGAAAGAAACATCTATCCCCCTCTTTTTTTTTTTTTTTTTTTTTTTTTTAGATGAGCAATTTTTTGTCATAGAAAACTAAATTTATATATTAAAAAATGACAGATTCGACTTGAAAAAATATTCTCATATTTATGGGTAGATGGAGAGAATATAAACATACCAGTTTGCATTTTTGTATGTTTAATTACAGTCATTAAATATTTACTTTATTAAAACAAATCAGAACAGTGAAAAATGTTACAACTAAATAGGAACAATATATAAAACCTTAGGAATAGCATAAGCAGGCGACACTGGGAAGTCTATTGGTTCAACAGCTGCATCTGCAAAACCTATACACAAAAAACACATGTGATAAATACTGCTGAATTATTTAACAGTTTATGAAAAAATGCATTTTCACATATGATACATGATTAAAAAAAAGTTAGGAAAAAGAAATATTTTGCTTGGCAATCCTGTTTGATTTTACATGACTCGTAGCACAATTGATTTTCCACAGAAGTTTGAGACATTTGAAAATTCCATAACATAGTTTAATCTCATTTCCAATAATTTTCATAATTTATAAAGAAATTCTTCTTCAGTCACCATTTTCAAAGCCAGAAAAAATGTGCTAATAATTGTTAAACATTGGTTCAAATGCCAGGCAGAAGGACTCTGCAATGCAGGAATCCAAAAGATTTGCCATACAATGTGATAAATGTCTTAATTCCAGTCAGGATTATGTTGAAAAGTAAATAAACAATTACTATATCCATAGCAATAAATCTTGCCATGAAATTATGATTAGTTTTTGCAGATCACCCAGGAAAACTTATGATTTGGATACCCCTTATACATCTGTCACATTTAAAATACTAACTGTTTAATGATGAGGACCATTTTCAATTTTTTATGCAAGCGTAATGGGCAAAACAAGTCACTACACTAATGTCATGTGAATAAAATTTTCAAAAATGTTATTGATTTAAAAGACTTAAAATTAAGATAAACTTAATAATAAGATAAATAAATAAATGAGTTGACTAAGTTATTTGTCAAATTTACAGAAACATATACAGAAACATCATTTATAAAAAAAAATTAATATTTAATTAATGAAGCCTAATCAATCCAAATCATCTTCAAAATGGATAAATTGTCAACAATACAAATGATAATACATACATTTCATGTCAGGAATTACTTCACACGAAAGTAACAAAATGCACGCTGTCAGTCATGCAATGTAATAACTCTATCCAAGATTATGATCAATCTGCCATCAGAGATGCTTTAAATAACTTTAACATCTTTTTTCATGCCTTTTAAGTAACATGCTTCGTGCTTCTTTTGGCCACTGAGTCGCTGATGTACTATGATTTCCTTAACATATTTTTCTTCCTTTATTATGAAATCCTTCAGCCCATTTAACTTTGTATATATAGTAAACCCTTGCCGAATGTGGGAGTTACATCATTAACACGTTGCACATATGGCAAAATCATATTTTACAAGTTAACTTTTCCACGGAAAAAATGAGTAAGTACAGTTTAGATTAAGAAAATGCATATAATTTCTACAAATCTGAAAGTTAACACAAAATTCATAAAAGGGAAACATCAAATAAATGCTAACTGAAGGGATAAGATACAATTATTTTTTTAAATAGCTGGTGTTTGTTTACTTGGGAGAATTTCTAATGCAACTCATTAAACGTTTGCGGTATGGAGTGCAAAGTTTTTCAATACCTGTCATAAAGAAGCCTCTTTCTTCATTTGGGTCAATCTCCATTTCAAACTTGCACAGTCCCATTGCCTTTTTTAACAACTGGTTTTAATTTCTTGTAAATTAAAGGCTCGGTATCTTCTTCACTATATTTGCTTTCATCATCTGCTGGTGTTATGAGATCATTCAATTTTTCATCTATCATTTTACTATCATTATTCTCAACTAATTCTTTTATTTATTCTTCTGCCATATCTTAAAGTCCTTTGTCATATATTGCTTTTGCAATTTGTACAAGTTTCATTTTCAGTCAATGGAAATCCTTTAAAATTGTTGAGAACTTCTGGCCAGCAAGCATTCACTTGTTCCCATATCAGCTTAATCATTTCTATGTAGTGACTTATGTTGAACTGCTTCCAAAATGCCATTAGTGTGTCATTTCCTTCACCTAATACTTTACTTACAGAGTGTATATATTCCTGACATAACAGGCTTTGAATATTTTTATAATTCCTGATCTTAAGGAAGTGGTGTTTGGTGAAAGGAATAAAATCTTTACATTTGGATGCAATGTTTCAGGGCTTCAGCACCATTATCGAGAATTAAAACTTTATAGCTCACGTTTTGCAATTCTAAATAATGTTTGATTTCTTTATGAATTTTCAAAAGGAGAGTCATTAAAGAGGACTATCACAATGCAGCCAGTGTGCTGCAGTGTACCGCACATTAAATTTTCATGTTGGACAAATTAAATTAATAATAATTAAAATAATAATAAGTAATAATTAAAAGATAATGCATATATGAAAAATAGCATTTTGTAAGTCCACATTCAGTAAGCATTTTATTTTCTTCATTAAATATTTCTGCCAGCATTTTTCTCTTAGTTTCATGCAATCCCCCCCCACCTGGGATAGACATAGAGTACTCTGCGAAGCTACTGGCTAGGATCTGTACCTAGGCAGTCTCGGCCATGAGGGTATAAAATTCATTAACTTGGCAATTGCTGATAGTTCGTGGGGTGGGGCTCATCTCCCCGTTATTAAGGGTATGAGTTGCTGAATAGCACCTTGGCCATTGAGCATCCAGTCACTGCTATCCTCAGTATTCTGTGTAAAACCTGAAGGGAAGGGCTGCCCTTATAGTACTGGTAATTAGCAAATCAATGTTCGACCAGTCAAAGCTCCAAGCCATCATGCCCACCCCACCGTGGTCTCTGTTCACTGGGATGGTGGTATTGGCTGGTCAGTTCAGAGGTGGGTCTTTACAAGGAGCCTTTAAATTGCTGATGTTCTCGGGGATGTGGGACTCTGGAACTCAATGGAGTGAGTTCAACAATCTTAAGGTGGCTTTGACTGATTTTTCAGTCCCTGTTATGTCATTCAGTTGGCGGGGCAGATAGAAAATATGTTTCTATGTAGAAAATATGTTTCGAATGAGTAGTTGCTTGCTCGTGTTGCCATCTATCAGCATCAGTGAAGTGCTGCAGTGCATCAGTTTCGTATGTCCTTTAAGAAGGAAATGATCTTGGGATTCAGTCCTGAGTCTATTAATGCAAATTGAATTCTTTATCACTAATGCAAAAGACCTCCTATGTGATAAGTTCAAGAATTCCAACTCTTTCAAATTTGTAAGTGTTGAGTTGCTCTCAAAATTGTTACAAGTTTACAGATTGCATATAATTTTAATTAAAAATAGTTATTACTACAGTTCATTCAGATCTATTTATTCAGTTTTAAAATACTTTTTCAAACTATGCATAAGCAAACTAATAGAAACACTTATTAAGACATTAACAGAATGAGAAAGTAACATTACAGTTAATATTTTTATTCTCTCCAATATATATATTTAGTTGTATTTGTAATTATCTTTAATATGTGTAACTGAATATTCAAATCATATTTTAAGCTATTTTCACTTTTCTCAGCGTTAATTGTAACATCTAACTGAATACTCAGAATATATTTTTAAAATAAAGAAAGGAAAAAAACTTTTTATTTCAACCTCATGTCCATTTTAAAATTGTTATTTCAAAAAATAAAGAAAGTAACTATCTTTAAATGATATATACTATGATTATTAGATCTAATTTACAATGTCTTACTGTACAAAGGAACCTCAGATCACAAACACCTCACTTCATGAAAAATTTGGTTCACGAATATGGGTAAATTATCTAAACAAAAAATGCATCGGATGACAAATAGAATATCGAGTTACAGACATTCCGACTGGCAATATATGAATTTCATATGTGCTTAGCAACAACTTAACTTGTGCTCTATATCTAACATTCAAGTTTTCTGCGAACATCATTTTAATACCTACTTTTGTTTAGTAGTAACTTGTGCACCATATCTAACATTCAAGTTTTCCGAGAACATCATTTTAATACCTACTTTTGCTTAGTTATCATTAATGAAGTCTGGAAGCAACCTACTTTCAAGACCAAGACTTACTACCATGGCTTAGACTAGACTGCAAGCAGACTCTCTACACATTGATTGTTTTTATTACCTATGGTATCATATTTCTAGGCAAAGCCATGGATTAGAAAGTTAACAATGAAGATGTGCAAAGTTACTAAAGCACCATAATAATGAGCTCAAGAAAAAACTACAACTTCAGAAACAGCAACAAAGGGTGATTGTTGAAGAAATATCTTCAGACATTTTAAAACATAGGTGCCAACAAATAATATTGTATAAATTTTGAGTGAAACTGTGTCAAGCAGAGTCAAAAAGTACTTTAAAAAAGGAAAAAAGAAGAAGAGCAAAAGAAAGAGCTCCAGAAAAACAGTTACCTGATATTTTTATAGAACGAAATTTCACATCTAAAGAATAACATCTTTCTCATTATTTTGCATTTATGATGCTGCCTTTATATAGGTACAGTAAAATTAAGTTTTCATTTATTTTATTTGCTTAATATTATGTTTATCTTTCATAATATTTAATAATTTCAATCGGTTTTAGATTATGAACTTGAGCACAAAGCACTATTGCAAAGTTTAAACAAGAAATCATCTGCTGCTTAAAAGAGAATTTTTCCATTTTCCATTAATTATCATCGGAAAAATTGCTTTGATTTACAAACATTTTAGTTGACAAACAGCCTTCAGGAACAAATCAAGCTTATGAACCAAGGTATCACCATATATAAAATGTTTTAACATTTATTTACATATAATGGACCTTATGTAATATCCCATCAACCGTGAAACTTTTGTCAAGCAGTACAATCTAGTGCCAATTATGGAAGTGATGTTACAATGCACTCATAACATTTGCAGTTCCATTTGATGTAAGCCCCCAACTGATCCTTGATAAGCTATCTTTAGTTTTTATGAACAAAATCTTATAATGGGAATAAAAGTTATCTATATCAACTTTTATTCCCGTTATAAGATATTTCTCCTGCCTTCTTGGCATGCCTTCGTGGTGTAGTGGTCTGCATACTGGGCACGTATTCCTGAGGTTCGTGGTTCGATTCCTGGCAAAGGCATTGCTAATTTTACAATTCTCCTGCTTCCAAAAATATACCTAATGTCTCTACAGTGGCGCCCGAACTAAAAGGGTGGTGAATGATGAATTTCCACACCCAGGATTTGGTGACTGGGTCTCCTTAAAACCGCAGTTACCCTTTAAAAGGGGGAGTATATAAGGTATTTCTCCTGCCTTCTTGGCATGCCTTCGTGGTATGGTGGTCTGCACGCTGGGTGCGTATTCCAGAGGTTTTCGGTTCGATTCCCGGCGAAGGCATTGCTAATTTTTAAATTCTCCTACTTCCAAAAATATACCTAATATCTCTACACCGTATTTTTTCTCTGCAAGTTGGGAAAAATTATTATGTGATTACACTCTGGTTCATTTATAGCTAGATGAGAGAATTACCATCTATGGAATGGGGAAAGTAACAGCTGGATATGGCCTATAAAACAGTAACAGAATGGAACAATTACCTACAAGAAGTCAGAATTCATAGCATTCTAATCAGAAGAGATAATAAAAAGTAGAAATTAAGGAGTAGAAATCAGAGAGTAGAAATCAAAGAAAGTGTTTTTACGTAGCCACTAAAAGAAAGTAAATTCAGTACTTCCACAGTAGTGGCTATTTTATCAATTGTGCAGAGGGACTGATGAATTTTTTATTGTAAGAGTTGCAGACAGGTGCAGACAGATGGGCAGCTCAGAATTCTGCAGGAATGATTGGTGCAACTTTGGTGGGATCTCCGCCAACTTTCATGGTAAATACATAAGTACTTATATAATTTCATACTAAGATTTGCATTAATGCTTTTTGGGCATATTTTCTATATAGTAATTTAATGCTCATGCCAAATATCTTTAGGGCTAGGCTATGAGCATTTTCATAATAAACATTTTTGATTTGAGTAGCAGAAAAATTACAATGGAAGTCTTCATCAAATTAATTTCGTATGTAATCTGAACTTAAAAATTAATAATGTTTGAAAATTTCTATAAACTGTTTTACACTTACTTATTGTTTGATAACTGATTAAAAATTCAAAGTTTTTTATAGTTCTTTTATTCCACACATATTTCCTTATTATATTAATTTTAAAATAAGTTTTTTTATTCCACACATATTTCCTTATTATATTAATTTTAGTATAAACTACATCAAGGAGGAGAAAACACTGCATGTATAAAATATAAATACAGTTATTTCTTACGAAGTAAAATAAAACAAAATCAGTTAAAATGACTAAATAATATTTAAATGCTTAACAACTTAATTATTTAAGGAGTAAATAAAAATTAAGGAGGAAAACATACCAATAATTTTAGCTAAGGGCTTTACATTCATTTTTACAGCACTTTCAGCAGTCATTAAGACACATGCAGCAGCTCCATCGTTTATAGTGCTAGCATTGGCAGCAGTAATTGTTCCTATTATTAATTATAACAATATATCAAGCAATTAATGAACTTTAATAATTAAGTTACTGGTACCTTACATATAACTTTATACTTATAACTATCTTTGATTACAGTATATAATCAAGTTAGTGTAACTGATCATGTTTTTATATATGAAAACAAAAATTTAGTTTTCTAGTTTCTTCTCTATACAATATGACCTAATTTTACCACGAGACGTCTTGTTTTTATCATATTTCCCACTTCAGTTTTTTTTTTTTTTTTTTTTAATTTTTAGCCTTTAATTAGGAAAACTACAAAGTAATATGTTTTCCAGTAATTGAATGAAATTTATTAAACTAATGAAACTTAAACTATACCAATTTTATTTCCCTTACCCCAGTTCTAAGGATTTTCAGCACATTTTTTTAATTAAATTTAATCTGATGTGTTAACTTATTCTAGATATTTGTAAAGCTGCTTGAAAAGATTCAGCCAATGTTTCAGCGGTTAATATTCACATTTAATTTTTATTTTACATCAACATACTATTTTATTTTCATCCTTTTAAAAATAAGAGTTTTTCTCCCTCCTATTCAGGATTTTCACAGTATAAAAAATTTAAGAAAATTACAGAATGAAATTAGACAAATAATGTAAAATACAGAATATTTAACTGCACATTGATATGTGTGGATATTGTTTTGATTATTGACTGATGGAGGTAGCGTTGCATATCAAACATGACATACCTCCTTACTGTTCTCATCTTTATGGTTATATATATTGTAAACTCCAACTGAATAGGAACAATTAAGTTCCTCTAAATTACTTTAATCCATTGATTAATAAGGTCTGCATTCTTCAATGGATCCAAAATATAATGTTTTGATTCTGTTTGATTACTTCTAGGACTGAACCGCTGTTGAATGTAATTAAGGATTTTGTAAATATTAAATATTTTATTTGTTTTAACCATTCAATGAAGATCTTTACATTTTGAATTTGAACAACGTGATGCATCAAGCCACCAAGTTTGGATTAGCATGTAGCATCTGAAGGCTGCTCATAGTAAGACTAAATTTTCTAGTTTTTGAAGTACAACAATGATGTAAGATCCTGCCACAAAACTACAAGAAAAATTAACGGTAATAAGAACTGCAGTGTTGAAGATATTAAAAACAATTAAGACAGAGTTAAGTAAAGACGACCTTAGTACAAGTGTATTAGCAGAAAATTTAGATCAGACAACTGTGAATTGAAAAACATTATTTGATTTAGGGCCCTATTCATAACATTTTTAACCACAGCGTTAAGTGAGATTTAAGGAATCATGACGTACTCTGACGTCACAAGTTGTTAAATTGCAAATATTGGTATTCTCACCAAAGCTAGCATTAAATTCGACCTTTAAATTGACAAGATAGCTGTTAAAGTAAGGACAGGTGTGACTCTTCATGTTAAATAAACAGATGGTTATATTTCAGCAATAAAAAGGGCGGAATGTTTTGCGTCAGTTTTAGCCTGAAGCGTATTTGCATGAAATCAGTCGAATTTCTCTGCATCGGCAGCAAATTTTCCGTGATCGAAGCAATGCATTCGATTTGCATGAAATGAAGAAAATGTATAATTAATTATTGTCAAGATTAATGGATTCTGGGCCCAGGAGCATGTCTTTGTGAAGTAAGTTCAGCTTCGTATTTTTCCATATAACGTTAGAAACATTACTTTTCGTATTTCTTCAAAATGCGTAATTTCATTTCACTGTCACTTCTTGATTGATTTTATAAATACAAAATCAATTGCGGAATGTGCATGCATTTTTGCAGTTAAATATTGCCAATATTGTTTGTAAAATTGTATCCCACATTTCATGCAAACTTTGTGTTGGGTTAGCACAAAGGTTAAAAATGTGATGTGCCTTTTTTAAAATTTAATTTTACTGTACGACTGGTGATTTAAAGTAGCATTCTATTTTGATTCTGATATATTGTCGCCAAATCTGTTTGTTGGTGCCAATGTTAAAAACTTTATAGTGTGATCTAAATTATAAATGATTTTGGTTTTTCTTTATAGTAAGATAAATATATTCTGTATTTTTTAGGAATTTTGAAGTCGTTAAGTATTAATTTAAATATTCGACAAATTGTTTTGATCCCATTATCATGCTTTGTCTAGTAGTAAAACTTCATGTTGTATTTTTAACTTTACTTACTTTACATTTATTTAAATGTGTGAACAGGAAATATGTTTTAAGTAGCTTAACAACTTAAAAAACTTAATTACTTTTTCTTAATTTTTCTATTTTTGTATAAAATTAATTTTTATTTTTATTAATAAAATTAATTTTTATTTTTATCAGAAAATTGCATTCTTAAAAGTGTGATTAAATTCATTTAATACATGTAACTGTTATTAAATACTAGGGCTTTAGATTTTAACGTAAAATTTCATGCACACTTTTGTTAAATTTGCAAGAACATTTTGAAGACAATCAATTTGTTCATAAATTTGTCAATGCTCATAAATTTATCATGGAAGATCTCATGTTCAGCTAAATCAAATTTACTTTTGTGTGACCTTAAATCTGAGGCCCCAATAGTAAATCTGTTTTGGCATATTAATAATTTTGAATGGAAAATTTAGTGCTACTGTGAAAGAAAGATCAAGTGATTTTTACTTTATTAATCAGTCTTATAGTTATTGTAATGACTTGCAGGATTTTTCATAATGTGGTGCTGCATATGTTTTACTCTTCTTTGTTATCAAATACATAAAAAGAGTATATTCCTAATCCAATATTTCTTCTTTTGTAAGAGTGTTATATATCATGATGTAATACTTAGGATTTGTTTTTAGCGTGCATAACAGTATTTTTTTTTTTTGACATGCTAATAGAACCAATGTATTTTAGTTGCTTATTGCTTTAAAATTTTGTTTATTGCTTATTGCAAGGCAATTTTTTTCTGCCTTTCAGTACGCATATAAAACTTACTTAAGCTATAAAACTTACAATTAATTGTCATTTTTAACAAATTAATGAGATATATGTTTTAGGTTAGCTGCTTTAATAGGAAAAGAATTAAACTAAAATGATATACCTTGAAAAATTTTATTGAAAATAAGCATATTATCTTAGCAGTGTCGGCTAAGATTCATTTAGAGGATTTTTTGCATTTATTTTGATATTTCTACATACATTCATTTAAATAAGAATCCAGTAAAGTAAGATCATTCTATATAAAGCTGTTGATTTATAATAGAAAAAAAATCAAATTACTGCTGCATTTTAATAAAATTTTAATATAACGGAATGAATGGCACTACATTAGGAAAAAGAGTGTACTTTCATTATACGTGTTTTGCATATGTTTGCTACAAGAGGACTTGATCTATAGATCTGTAGCTAAATGGTATTTTTATGTTTTTACAATTGGAAATTAATTAAGAAGAAGAACTGTGTGTGTGTGTGTGATGAATACTAAACTTTTTGTCTTATATGTAAAAAATACATTTTCGATGTAGGCTTATTATTACCGTTTGTAGTCAGAGTCAAAACCAAATTACAACAAACTTGGATTTTGCCTAAATGAGTTTCAAAGTTAAATAATGTCTACACTCTTCAATGTTTGCCAGTGCATGTCAACATCACAGGTAACGAGAATGCAGATAAATTAACAGAAGAGGCTCGAAATCTCAATACTAATAATATAAATGTCATGCTTTCAGATGCAAACGCCATCGCCAAATACAGATTGAAGGAACTTTCAGTTCCAATAAAGCAACAGCTCCATAACATCAATGGAGATCGACTTATAACTAAAACCATCATCAGACAGAACTGGCTATTACAGAGGTTTGAAAATTGGCAAAGAGAATAGGTAAACCTACAGGAACTGTCGTAACTGCCTAGACACAGAACTCCCAACTGCACACATTTTTGATTGTCTGGCCATCCTTGCAGAATTGCTAAAAATCGGGGGTCTTGTTTAAGAGACTGAACCTCTATGATGATAACATTTTGCAGATTATCAAGGCTGCCATCATCGCCCATGGCACAGTTTGAATAAGCTTCATCACAAACATGACAACTACCAATTGGGACACTTGTTTTAGACTGGAATGATGAACAGAAAATTTACACTTTATATGGAAAAATGGTTCAATGAAGTTTTTGAATGCAATTGCTATTCCATGATATTATTTTTCTGCAATCTGTAATAATGAAGTAAAAAGGATTGAGCTACACTGTTTTCCTGATGTGATTAAAAAGGAATATGATACATTAGCGTATCTGCATATAATTTCTAGTGCTGAACAAATATTTACAATTTTCGTTGCTTCCAAAATAGTGTTTTTAAAGTCATTCACTTCATTAATTGACCAGGTATGAACTTATGGCAGCTCTTTTGTTAGCTTAATTAGGCACTAGCATCGTTTACGTTTTGAAGTTAGAACTTTCTTATTTCTTCAGGGCTGGTTCGAAAATCATACTTTTGACATAAAAAATTCTACAAAGAAATTTCAGCTTTTTATTAAAAATCATACTGAAGAAATACATCTAACATTACGCACAAATTGGAATTACTGCCCTGTAAAAAGGAGCAAAGTTGGCTTGGCATTGAGAGGAGCTAAACTTCAAGATCAGAGAAAATATTCCTATTTGGTTTCAAGGAGTGGAATGGCTTAGAATGTTGTCTGAATTCTGGCTTTGACAGAAGAGAGAAGAACCTATCATTGGGAAAGAATTAGAATATCATAAGAAAATTAATGATATTCATTAATTCAAGTGCAAGGTAGTTGAAGAAACGCTGATAGACATATCAAAGTACAGTGATTTAAGAATTTTTTTAAGAATAAATGGTTGAATGAAGCGATTCACTGCTAAAATAAAGAAAATGAATAACTTGACAGGTCTTTTCACAGCTAGAGAATTCGAAGATGCCAAAAATTACTAATTCAATCTTGGGGGGGGGGGTGGAACTTTATCCTGGTATCCTGATGAAATGCAGTTTTTGAAAGGGAAAAAT